ACCACTAACCCACCGCTACGCACAACTACGCACTGATGATGTCACCTCGATTGGTGATGAAACGTTTGCAACCAAATTGCTCAGCTCAGCGAACAAGCCAACGACCATCCACGCTACCTGAGCTACCGACATTCTCCTCTATAGAAAGGGAAGGGACTTAGATCCAAGTTACCATAATCATTTCGATGTGCTCACACCTCCAGACACTTTATCAGGTAACCTGCATGAAAAAAATGACAAAAAAGAACGATATTGACGTCGATTACAGCCATGTCTTGCAGAGTCTCTAAACCGGACACAGTGTAGATCAGGTCGACCCTATTTTGGAAGGCAAATTACACCCACAGAACCCAGACTTGGCGTAAATCCTTTGACACCCCACTGTAGAAAGTCATAACATTCGTTCAGTCGTAACGCTCCCTCGGTGCCCAAATGCCATGCCACCGGAAAGAAGCACGCGGGCTGAGATAATGCCAGGTTTCCAGGAGCAGTCGGGATGCAGATGATGAACTTTAACCATCAAGTCAGTAAGTCCATTGCCTAACAACTGAACCGTCCGTCAGCCAACTTGAAGTTTGACCACCTCTCTGCTTGTGAAGTGGGTACGGGAAACAACTCTCTTCGACACACGTTGATCCAGCATGCGCAGAACATGGCCTAACCAACGAAGCCTTTCGTGCTGGGTACCTTCTTCGATTGCAGTCCGCAGCGCACAACCGGGCACTCGGTTTCTAACTGCCTCACTACGGATTCATAGACATGAACCCACACGAATGTGGTTCTGAAACGACAATGGTCGAAGTCCTGAAGGTACCTCAGTTCTCCTGCTCGAACAGGCCACATCTCATAGCCATATAACAAAAACAACCTATACTTTGGCGTGAAACACACACCCTTTGAGAATCAGGGATACGTCGCTTTGCCGCCGTAACTAGAGCCTTACAGAACCTGTACCGAATCGAGGGACCAATTTTCACTTCGGGACAAAAGCTACAAAAATATCTTAATCAAATACCTTACCAGTGCCAAAATAACGGGCACTCCGTTCATCTAAACTCTAACAATGAGACCGTACTTCTTGTGAAAGGTTTCCAATACCTATTCAATAGATGGATTTCGTCTGTCTTGTTGGATTGGTCTAGCTGCATATGCACTACGCATAAGTATAAAAGTGGCAATCCGGGTACTCTGGCCTTTTCGATTTTATCCAAATGTAGGCGGGATGTCACGGTTCTTGAATTTGGTCCGATTAACGTCCTTCTACACCTTCGGGTTCAAATGATTCTTGAAATATGCCTCACGATAAGCGCTAGTGACGAGTTTTTACCGCTATTCACTGGTGACCGCGATCGATCATCCTTACTCGACTCTTCCTGACTTGACGGATGCATATTCATAACTCCGTCTGTATTGGACCCCATGGACGGCCAAATCACCACAGTTTGCATCTGAGAAGAGATAGAAACTCTTGTATCTTAAATTAGGTATAGAGAGGATCTGTTTCCTTACATTCGAGTCCCATGATAACCCCTCCCGGAAGCGACCGACTTTTTTGTTGGTTTACTCACGTGACCGCTCCGGAGAGGAGAATTGGGAAGCAAGGCCAACCTATGCCTGGAAGTCAAGAAGAACCGTACACCTGTTTCATTCTTACTGAACAACCATCAGTAGAATGCACCTCGCAAAACCCAAAGGAGTTTCGAATCCGTAGCCTCCCGGTTAAATTTTGAACGCTTCTGTTGTTGTTGTTGTTGTTGCAGCAGTTACAAACGCACGTTCATGATTTCTAGGTTAGGCAGTAACATGATGGCCTCAAACGGGTGCGAGATGGACATATATGTGTAATGTTCGAACTTTCAGTAGCCACACGTCAGGTCTTGTACACAACTATCACAGAGAAACCTTGTGATTATCGCGTTCCATCGATCGATGAGATGATGGATCGTACCGGTTGAATTGGAATCTGTTACAAGAATTCGACAATGGGACTAGGCTGAGTTGGTTGACGAGTGGAAAAAGCAGATGGTGAAGATGTGGGTGGACGTAACGAATGCTCTTAGGTTATTGCGTACGAGTTCCTTCCTAGTCCTGCCCCATGAAATGTAGTGAAAACAATTTTTAAGATGAATCTCTTTAGAGTAAACATAGAAACGCGCAGAGATGTATGATTTAAACCAGGGAAGATTGTCATTCGTTTAAATATAAAACCCTTTTGGTGCTTAGTTGCATGCTACCCGAAAGAAGCACGAGTACTGCCAGGTTGCCCTTGATTGGGTTGGAACCATGGACCAGCCAGTAAGTTTGCACCTAAACCACTGAGCCATCTCGAGCTCAAGGATTCTCATTACATTCCCACTAATAGTACACGTGAGCACTCAGCTTTTTAGCAGATAATTGCGTTCTTCCGCCTCACCAGTGGAAGAGAATAGGCCCAAATATGGCATAACAAGGGAACAATTGAATGAATTACACGAAATCTGGACGGGACGGCGTGGCGTCCTCATCACCTGTGATGACAAAGGTGAAACTTGATTGGCTAGGTGGATGGAGTGCCAGTATACGGAAGTTCGCAAGCGTTTTTTCAGCTATGGTGCGCCGAAACTCCACATTCAGAAATACAACTTCGCTGATGAGGTTTAGGGGCCAATGAGTCAGCTCCGTGGTGGGTTCTCCAGGCTTATCAATCCCCGGTCACATGAGTTTTCACATGTCTGACATGGCCAAAACACCGTCCAAAGCCGAATACGTGGAAGGACAATTCGACAGTTCGGAAGCAGAGTGTTGGATGAAAGTGACAACTCACAGGTGGGATAGGCGATGAGACGGAACAGCAAGTATGCTGAGAAGATGGAGTTTCGTCAGCGCAGCTATCGCAAACGGGCGCACCAGCTCTTTCGCGCAACAGGGTGCTGAAAGACGGAGAGGCATTCAGTACAGTCAAGAAGTCCACGCGTCATTAGGACTGACTAAGTAACAGAACTTTCCTGGATCAAATGACTCCTGGGAAACAGCTAACGGCAAACCTCTTTCGACAGCGTTTGCTTCAAATCGTTCATCACTCTTTGCCTGTGTACAGAACTTTCCTGGATCAAATGACTCCTGGGAAACAGCTAACGGCAAACCTCTTTCGACAGCGTTTGCTTCAATTCGTTCATCGCTCTTTGCCTGTGTCCTCGTTTTCGCTGTTTTGTTCTAGTCTCAAATGTAGGACCGCATACTTCTGTGTTTCTTCCAACTGAGAATGTACGCTATGAGGTGGCTCGCATGGGGAGCAAACAGCACCGTCAAGCCTGCCAGCCTGCCATACTTTACGATATGGGAGGGAAATTCTTGGAGAAGCCTTGTGCAGTACTGAAATCATTGAGTCTCCCGCCACTGCAGCCCTGCGGGGATGCTAAAGTTCACAGGTGCAAGACCGAATACTTATTTACTTACTACACTGCACTAGAAAACGAATTTCACAGTTGCCACCCAGTTCGGTGAACCACAGAGCCAAACCATGGCTAATATCAGATGGCTTGCAGTCGCATTTTACGTGTTATAGGATTTTGGCTTCTCAGACCGAATTTCGCAGACTAAATCGAGTCCCATGAAGATTCAGCACGTATTCGTTGAGGTTAACCCGCAGAAGATGTAACGTGTGAGGTTTCCTGTTCGAAATCAGGCATGGTTTTGAACCTCTATTTCCAATGTGCCCTAGAGCCACAACCTGGAAGATTTCTACCCTCAACTTCCAACCCGCCGGGCTTCGAATTGTGAAAATAAGGGGTTTGCCAAACAGTAGACATGTACTATGTGGACTGCAGTGCAGTATCATTCAATGATGAGTCGTTCAAGTGCACGCCCCACAAGACTGTGGGATCTTTGACTCACACTCACACCACTCGGTAAGTTGATTGGACCGATTTTTAGAGTGTACAACAGGCGTATCTTCCGCAGAGAGAGAGAGAGTACCGTCGATTGCGGATAACCGATGCAGGTGCAATTATCAGCTGTAGCCCAATCAGAGTCAGCCTGAAAGTATCGATTATAATATATTGGTTATCTTGATTATAATATCTTGATAATCGGCGAAAAGACGCTATTTCAACCATCTACTCGGATGGTGGGCAGCATAAGGTAGGCCATGGATGCACAGTGTTGATTGCCAAACGGATGTCCAGTATCTGCTGAAACATGCCCACACTTTTTTCGTTTGTGATCGGAAGTAGCAATCTCCCGACGGCGGCCTTCTCTCTCCCTTGTTTCCGGTCACCGACTGGGACCCGATTGCATCTCAGGCGTAATTAGAAATCAGTTTTAATCAGAACATTCGTTCAATGGTGACGGGGATAGGTTTGTCCTAACTGATGGAATTTTGTAACATTTTTATGATACAATTCCAGTTCGTCCAAACAGTCCTAATATCCTCACAAATGAGGTCGGGGACACTGATTGTTGACCAGTTCGCCGAGCTACGCAATTGCCTGGAAGGAGATATCATTGGTCTGTTGGATGTACAGCATTTTAGTAAACCTGTTCGATGGTTCATAAACTTGAGCCGATTACACACAAAAAGTCTAATGAGGTTTTTTCCGCTACGTTGAAAGTTGATATGAAAGATTGCTATCCAAACGGGGTATTGGCAACTGCTCACCCGAAAAACGACCCGTCAACATCAAAACTTGATGCGGGTCAAGCAAGTATATAGCATGTTTGCCAGAGAAGGACTACAATAGCACTGCGGAACGCCACAACATTGAAGCAATGGACATCTTAATGCCCACGGTTTCCAGGAATTTCTTTCCGTGAGTGGGGAACGCGGGAAGCCATGAAGTAGCAATCGGAAGAAAGTTTTAAAAAATGCAGAAGATCGATGCGACTGGTTGGTCGCGATGCAACTATTCAAATATTGGAAGCTAAAACACCTACTGGTGCAATCGTAGCGCATTTGAGTTGAAGACAACTCAAAACCAGGATGGATGCTAAGAAGACTTTATACCAAAAGCCACTTGACTTACCGGTTACCTTCAGCTACCTGCTGCAACCGATAGGCCTCAGCTTCGGCTGGACGTCGAACTGTGGCATCCATTTTCTTCTCACTACACAAAATTTCTTTCTCCTCAACTTCGATTTGTTTACGACGTTCCACAATGGTGATGTTGACCTCCTCGGTTCGGATCTTTTGTTGCTCCTTTGCCGCCTGCAGGTAGAATGAAACCCTCATGAAACTTTCATCCCCCGAAAAAGATCAGATTGGTTCTGGCGAAATACTCTCATTCGAAAATTAGATCAGTGTTAAAAGGAAGGCTCGGTTGAACCTCTCGTTTAGGCAATTAAGTTGAGGGGCTTCCATCAACCTCAAATAATCTGTTGTGCCAAGAAAAAAACTATTCAATTGGGCGATTGGCGAGTTTTCTGGGTCGCGATTAGAACAAATGTGCTTCCTCGCCGAACTAAGTGTCGGTGCGTGTTTATCCGTAATCATGAATGATTTAGGAATTTGTGAGGATCACATCAGGATAAGGTTCAGTCATTTAACAAACATCTGACTTGATTTTGGTCAATTCTGGGAAAATAAGAGACCACAATGAAAGTTATAAGGGATGCGGAAGACCGTCGACCAACTGGCAGCAAAGCAAAGCTACAGATGTATGAAATGAGAGGCTGAAAATTTTCACATCCAATCAACACTATGAAACTTTGAATCTGGTGGTAAAGTCACCCCTGATAAGGATTTTCCAAGGAACAAAATCCCAAAATGGTCGCTGGGAGACCTACTGAGACACCCTATGGATGAAGTCGGCCTCATTGGTAGCCGTCTAAACTCCTCGGTACTGTAGATGGGGTGATTCTTTGAGGCAGGTTTGTAACGGGGTTGGGGGGAATCATGTGACCCCAAAATTGCTTCCTCTAAGGAGGTGACCCCTCTAGAGGGTTACTCGTGTGTGAAACAGAGCGTTTTGTCTTTATTACACTTTACTTCGTACTTCATTCAAGCTGTACTACTTGCAAAGACTAAGTGAACTGCCTTGTGAAACTATTTACATATTTCTGACGTGTTTTCTCTTTCGAAGAAGAGACTAGTGAACGAACAAAGCGGAATAATCCTTTCGCTGGAAAGAGAATAGCAAAGAGAAGAGAGCTTTTTAGCTTCGTCTGGAAGGAGGATTCCGCACTAAATCGACGGCAATGGCAAGAAACAGAATCGATGGCTTGCGTCAGAGGACAAGGCGATTAGTGGATGAGCCGTTTTATTCTGTTCAGACCACTAGACAGATTGTTCAGACGTACCTGAAGTTTGTAGGCCAATTCGGCCTCAGCTCGCGCCGTATTGATTTCTTGGTCGAAGCTGGCTTTTTGTAACTGGTAGTCCCGAGTCGAGTTGGCGATTTGGGTGTCAGCTGCGTAGCGAACGTCCAGACGAGCACGATCACATTCGGCCTCCTGGAGTTGGGAAAGATATGTGTCAGGTATGTGACTGGAACAATGGGGATAAGGATGAGGTGTATAGAACAACCTTCTCAACAAACCGGCGACCTTGTCGCAATACTGAACAGTGTTCAGACATGATATTAAAACGTACACTATGACACTGCGAATACCAAGCAGTCTGGCTGTTGACAGAAAAGTGGATACTGAATGGGCATTTAGCCATGCCAAGAGACTGGCGTCAAATGACAGTGGCAATCGGGAGGAAGAACATGGAGAATCGATAGATTGTCCCGATAAACCGCTCACAGTTTCCATAGAAACATAATCGGGATACCCAATTATTAGAAGTGGTAACACACCTCCAGGACAAATCTCCCCTGACAGGAACAATATCACGGATTTCGGAGAGGGATGGAAAGTGGGACTGTCTCAGGACACAAGTCCTACACAAACAGAATAGCGGGAAAATGTCACAAACGCGTAGGTATTTGGACGGTTCGATAGTCCAGTGTGCACGTTCATATTACCTCTGAAGAGACAGAATTTGCTCGTAGTGCCAGGTAGAAGCAGCTGTGATAAGTACGACTACTGAACAATTCTCAGTACAATAAGTTGTCTCCCAAATTAGTGTGGGGCAGAACAAAGTCGGACGACGTGGTTGAAGCGATCTTCGCTGACTTTCAACAATTTTCCGAATGCTCACAAAGCAGTATACCTAGAGCGACCTCGAATCATTTGCCTTACACAGAATCCCTAGAGGTGTGGCCTGCAAGAACGAACTCAAACTATCTGTGGATGGTGTGTTAGCAAAAGTCCAACTTGTACTAAGATTTCCAGTCCAATCCTGGTCGGAAAGATGCACATTTGGTCTGGGGTTTCAAAATTTGTTGCATCAAGAGGAAGAGCTGGAGGTAGAATTTCAAGCACCTCGGTGGGTATATTAGCTCTGACGGAAGTAATGAAAAAATCGTTCAGCGGTAACCCCTTCCGGTGCCTAGCTGCCACGCCACCCGCAGGAAGCACGAGGGCTGAGATACCGCCAGGTTGCCCAGGCCTAGAAATGGGAAGTCGAGAGGCAGAGGTCGGATTGGGACCATGGACCTTCCGGTCAGTAAATTCGCGCTCTAACCACCTGAGCCATCTTGCCCCATCTCATCAATCTGACAGAAGTGGGTCCGTTGAATTCAGTATCAAGCGTCCGAATCGTAAGTTGCGTCACTTGTGACTACAAAAAGGCATCACTCGGTTTCAAGAGTCGCAGGTAATAGGCTACAGTAAAGGATATTGTGGTATAGTTACAAGAGATGGATCATGCAGATAGACGATGTGAGGAATCTTCAGGTTTCTTAGCACTGATGTCTCAGAAGCGTTCCTGGTGTCGGATGGTGTCAACGAATTCGCAAGGGTATAGTTAGAAATGGTTCAACATTGCAGCTCCGTTTTGGTGCCTACAATGCCATGTCACCAGAAAGAAGCACGAGGGCTGAGATACTACCAGGTTGCCTAAGCCTAGACAGGGGAAGTTGAGAGGCAGAGGTCAGATTCGAACCACGGACTCTCCAGTCAGGACCCGAACTCACTGATCAGAAGGTTCTTGGCTCGAACCCAACCATCCCGACTTCTCCTGCCGAGGCTTTGGCAACCTGACAGCCCTCGTATCTCCTTAAGAGGCATGGGGACTATGCAACGAACGTGCTACAACTATTATTACTATTATTATTATTTATTACTGCCATTTACAAGCCAGTGTTAATCTGATGGTTGTAGGCCGCTCCCAAGTTGAATCTATTTATTCTTCCACACCTATGAAAGGCACAAGTAACAAGGATTCCCAAGGCCGCATTCGACTCCTGGGGAGATGCAGTGAATAGGGTGTCGGATTTGTATCTCGGAACGGGTGCGCAAAGAGAACGAAACAACCGTGGAGTGATTGGACGGTGAAACAGCACGTTATACGCATACACGCCAACAATATGTAGACAACGGAGAAAATTTTTGCATACCCTGATTCCGGCATCTCGTTCCGCTTCAGCAACGCCTATTGCCGCGTCACGTTTGACCACGGCTGTTTGAGAGCGTCCCAGTGAATCCAAATACTCCACACGATCGTAGACGTCCTTGATGGTGAAACTGAGAATTTCTATGCCCATTCGACCCACGTCTGGAGCAGCCACCTCGCGAACGAGACTGGCAAACTGATCGCGATCCTACGATGGAGAAAAAAAGATCGAGTTTGGATTCAGAAAACGAGAGTATTGGCTATTTGGTGAAGCCAGCGCTACTGTAGAAAGCTCCTGGAAATCAACTAACGGTGTAATAAAAACTTTGTGAGTGTGTTATTCACCTGCGGCATGAAAAAACAAGCCGTCACAGAAATAAACTGTCTAGACTTTTAAAGACCGAGTAAAACTGGTCTGAACGTGCAAATATCGATTGAGACCAAGTGGACATTCGTTACGAACAGGTCCATGTTGGACAACGATCATCAGCATCAGAAGCGGCAACATTAGTGTTTATACTGATGCTTCAGTGCCGTACAACAACAAAATTCATTTAAATATATTGAAAGCCTGTGTGGAAAGAAAACTAGTCGAGAAAGGGGACCCGGTGCCATGCTATCGCAAGCATTTTGAGGTGTCTACACCTCCAAGCGCTCAGTCAGACAATCTAAAAAAACTGATACCCATTGACACCGACTGTGAGTTATTTCTTCCAATGTTTCCAGCTAGGTGCGGGGGTCACGGGGATTTCATCCCGTAACGCGTACCGCACCAAGAACACCTGAACTCTTGGGCCAAGCCACACGTTGTCCACCTCGCGCCTTGCGCCATTCTGAAGGAGACACCGGAAACAACACTCGTCTCGATAGATGGTGTTTCGGCACGCGTATCACACGACCGAGCCACCGCGGTAGATGGTGCTGGATGTTTTCGGCTCTACAACCAAATACCCGTTTTCTAATCACGTCGTTACTAATCCGTTGACGGCATCCGACACCAGCAACACTTCTGAGGTATCGGTGGCCAAAAACCTCACATCTGCCGCAGAGGCCACGTCTCGCAACCATACAACAATACAGTCTTTACTATAGCGTGGCATACACGACAACAGAGACCAACTCATTTGTTTTTTGACGCCACCAGTGGCGCAAATCGGTAAACGTCATTCTGACCTACTAGATTCGTGCACCGAGTTCATTAGACACACTTCCGTAGGAGCTAATATACCCATCGAGCCATGTATATTTTCAAAAACCTCCCACGAGTCTTCTTGAATTGTAAGTAGAATGTTCAGGGATGACTTTGCATTTGAAGGGAAAAGGCACATGCCAAAAGATGGTATGACGGTTTGTGCTTCATCTTCGTCTTCAGCGATAAGGACGATATCTTCTGTGTACTCCAAATCGACAGGGTTCTCATCGTCAACGATTTGAAAGCCGGAGTTTCGAAGACCTTCCGGTGTTCGCCTGATTATTTTACCGGTGACAAAGTTGAACAAGAACGGATAGAGTGGAGATTTTTGTCAGACACCACTTCTTGTAGGGAGAGCTCCCCACACTCTCACAAACCAAGAAGCATATGAGGTTGGGTTCGGACCATGGACCGTCCGGTCAATGAGTTCGCGTCTCAACCACCCGGCTATCTCAAGCTCTAGTGTCGCTAACCAAAGGTGTGTCCGAACCCGAGGTCTCCATCCAGGAAGGGGCGAATGCCAAATTTGTGTTTTTAAAACTCCGTCGCTAGGTCATCTTTAAATCGGATCCACTTAGCACAGGGTTGAGTAGAAGTTGTGCGAGATAGACGCTCCCCGAACATTTGAAGTATGGGTTCTAATAAGCGTTAACTATGCACAGCGACTAAATCGCCAGTCACCTCTTCCAATAAACAAACGACATACCACAAGCATCGCAGATCCCGTTTTCTCCGCAGCGAGACAGCGAGTCACCTGAACTGTGCCTGTGATTAATCCCTGAAATTCGCTTCATCTTCGTCTTCAGCGATAAGGACGATATCTTCTGTGTACTCCAAATCGACAGGGTTCTCATCGTCAACGATTTGAAAGCCGGAGTTTCGAAAACCTTCCGGTGTTCGCCTGATTATTTTACCGGTGACAAAGTTGAACAAGAACGGATAGAGTGGAGATTTTTGTCAGACACCACTTCTTGTGCCTGTGATTAATCGCCTGAAATTCAGTCTAGATGTTTCGAGAACTTTTTTTCAAAAACGTTCTCGACTTGCTAATTCGTCGGGTGTTCCTTCTGACCCCAACTCCACCTGTTTCGCCCTGTCAACTGATCTGATAGTAGGCATTCTCTTGACGTGACTGAACTCGCGCTTTAAATGAGCCTAGTTTTCCTGGTGGGCCTTGTTCATGTGCCGGATTCTGGCCACTATATTCAGGCTAAGATGGACATGTCACCAACGGATGTCAGAAACTCTAGAACAAGTGCTGTTAGGCTCGTGTCTGAGATAATACAAGTCGATAGACAATGATGATCTTGTCATTACTCCGTAGCCATTTTGACCTAGGAGTATTTGCAAACGGCACTTTCAGTTTCTTTTATACAACAGTTTCAGTCGGAATCCCACGTTGCAAGTGAAGCAAATTCATGATGACAAGCCGAAAGCAATACTTCGGACTTGTGTGTGCATCTGACAAACCTTTGGGGGAGATTCGAACCCACAGTCTTTCGGTTCGTCTTTAAACACTCTATCACATAACAAGTTGGTGCACTGCACACCCAGAAAGACAGATAACTGAGATCGACAGTGTCTTAGTTACTGTCTCTAATCCCAGTCTCACACTAAGACGAAATAATAAACTGAACGCGACTGGACTTTCCCGACTGGCTTGATGAGATTTGTCCTTTTGTGGGGGAAATGCAAAGCCTCTACCGACCATTTGGATACGAATTAATTACTGCGTCACAGAAAGGCTGACGATTGCCGACAAAAATAAAAACCAGACTTCCAATGCCAATCGATTGCCGTATCCGAAAACGATGCTGCAACATTCTAAGAACGAAACAGCTTTGTTAAACACGGAGCACTGTTGTACCGAAATCTGGCAGTGGATTCGACGGGGAATGATCCATCGAAGGAACAAGTCCCTGGTAATGAAAATGAAACATTTCTGACTCCGTCTCTAAGTGGAACTACCACAACCCAGTGCACCATCAGTTAAACAGTTAATGGCACAACGTCGCCACATCAGTCGGTTCGTCTTGTCTGCAGAAAACTTCACTTGACCGGTAACAGCCCATACTACGAAAAAGAAGAGAGTGGACCATACCGTGGTGTGACGGTTTGCGCACCTCAGCGATCCATTGAGCTATACTGGGGAGTGTCCCCGTGACACTCACAGAGTCTCGCATACCAGGTTGGTCAACGTGTATAGGTCTGACGAACACAACCTCCTGGCCCTCCAGGTTGGAGGTTGGAACATGTGCGACGACTTGTTCCATAGAAATGGTAATGCATTTGCATTTCCCGCCAAACACTGCTGCCTTGCGGTTAGGCTTTTGAGCCACAGGCTTTGGTTGAGGACCCTAATCGTCCTCCTGTCTAGGTGTGGGCGCCCTGGCAGTATCCCAGCCCTCGTACAACCATGACACACTACGAGCCCTAGCGCCTTTCGCCGGAAAACGTCACAAAAGAATTACGGACTAGAGTCAGTGAAGCGAAAACATGGGACGAAGCGAGTCACTATAAATCGCAAAATCGATACCTATCGAGTTTCAGTAACTACCCTATTTGGTGCATCAACATCCCGTGAACGTGCCTAATCACACACAGGCACACACACACGTTCCGATCAGCATCATAACTTTGTAACGGATTAACCACGATTACTTCGTTACTTCTGTTGCAGTAGATCCACGAGCCCAAATCGGTGACTAACATGATTCGGAAAGTGGAATTTTTAAAACATGTCTCATTATCATCATAATCATGGCCACCGCGGTCGTCATGAACACCAACACGCCAGTAGTAAACACGAGTGCTTAAATGTCACAGCGTTCTGGGGGAAGGTGTTATGAAGGGAAAAGGAACGGGAATGTGTGAAGGTCTTTGACCAAAAGCCCAAATCCGAGAGAAGATGGTGAACAGATCTGAAGGTGTCTACATCCTCCAAAGTCACTGAAATAAACGCAAATGGGCGTTGCGTTAGAATGAGACATCATCAGAGGAATTGATCCAGTTCGTGACTTTTGCGAACTTCGCCCAACACAAGCCTAGGATAAGACAGACGGACTCCGACCAGGCAGTCCGGCTCATTGGTGATAACATGCACACCGCTGGAAAGGGTCGTTCATAACCATGCACAAGGAGAATCATACGGACGCTAGAGAGGAAGGAGAGAAGATCCAATAGGAACTCAGGTTAACAGTCATCATCATCATTGGCTGTAGAAAAACCACGTACTGGTCGTAGTAGTCATACTTGCCACACTTTCGCTCGCCGATTATTTTGTGGGATGGGGTGGACAGCTTCGTATTGGAGGCCGTAAGTGATATAATTGATGCGCAACTACAGTGCTGTCAAAAGACTTCCCGTTGGAAAGATCAGGAAGAGGGCTATACATTGAAGGCAATAACTTGGATGCATGAGCGCAATTGAGGGCGCGACTGTTGATCAACTCAGCCCTTCATACTCATTAGCCAAAACATTAGTTGACCTTCTCTTGTTCGTCCCCACCCTTCGCGTTGGGGTGCGAAAAGAGCCCTTCAAGGAAGTCTGTCAACTGGCGTACGGAACACGTAGCCAAGCAAGCATAAGCTATGGAGTGTGATCAGTTCATCTATTCAGGGTGAGTTATTTCTTCAGAGAACTATTCGAAGTACATCACATTATGATCAGTTCATCTATTCAGGGTGAGTTATCTCTTCAAAGAACTATTCGAATTACATCATATTGCCGATACGATGTTTCCACCAGACTCGGGCAATGGTCCGAAGACATCTATGGTCAAACACTGAGTCTTTTGACGTCCTTACCGCCTAGTGACCAGGTTTATGACCTATTTAATTATATGAAGTGAATCACAATATTCGAAACAGAGGTATATTTGAATAACGTGAGAAACGCACGTCCCAACCACTGACAAGTTTGTCATTTCGCCCTACCGATTCCAACCCACTGTAAAATACTCGCATACGAACCATTCCATTGCGAATATGCTGCAACGGTCAAGTCTCAAATCCACAGAGCACGACTGTTCTCATGGTTGTTTTGTCCATACGGCGCCCTGGTTTCGGTGAGACGCATTTTTGACGTCGGAACAAAGCGAGTTTGTGAATGTCTCACGTGCTACACACAACTTTGTTCACACGTTTTCATATGTTCGGTGGTTGTTTTTTTTCTCAGTTAAACTGCGTCGGCCATACACTAATAGTGACCACCCAAGCGTTCAACCATTTCCAACATCGCAAGGCTGTGGATAAGTCCATGGGTGTGGAGGAATACCATGGTGGACACCGGGTAAGAGAGAATTCACTTGAGTAGGGAAAAGAAAAGCGGCCAGAACACTACATAAACAAACACTCACCCTGTAAATAGCCTCAACTGTCAGGGTACCCAGAATTGCTCTTAGATGACCTTCCAGGGTTTGTAAGATGGTGTTCTGAATCTCACGGGTCTGTTTTCCCAAGAATTGTTCACAAGCCGCCTGAAGCAGCTTGTCATCCCGCATCACCTTAACTTGTGCGACACCTAAAAGTTCGGTTGTTCCAAATTCAGAAAGAACCAGTTTTACGACAAATTACCTGTCACCGTGAGTGGCACTCCCTCTGACGTTTCAACATTTTCACATCTTGGATTCAGGGTCATCACAGATAGGGAAATCCTGTTTTGCGGAAAAAATGTAGAGGCGAAAGCGAAATGTACTTTTGCACTTGTGTGACGCACCACCACGCCCAACCCCAACCGCCAATGATTGTTCGAACATTATCCGTTCCACAACAGCCACCTGGAATGGGGCGAAATTAGGAAGATGGCAAGGCTGGTGATCAGAAGGAAAGGATTATGGGTGAAAAAGGTAACAGGAATCAACATGAATGGTGCACCAGTAGGCCAATGATTAGCTGAAGGACCGGATCACCTCCCACAGATGCATCACTAGCCTGCCCCATTTATTGGGCGACGGCGATGGGACGTTGCTCAACTGAGTTGAGTGAAGCTAGTCATAAGTACGGACAAGATACAAGTGCATTTTCAGAAATATTTACACGAACTAGCAAGATTTAGGTGGGGACGGGGAAACTTTTCTGTCCATCAATCAAATTACATGCTCAGGTATTCACCGAAAAATGTTGCGGCACCAAGTGACGCGTGGTCATTCAATGGGGAAGAAAGCCTCTACAATTTGTTGCGCACATTGTGGGAGACGCGTCAAGCGGAGGATTCTAGTGATTTATGGGGCAATCCCAACCAAAAGCACACACCCGACAGACGATCTTCCACTGAATGGAAGGACATCCCATTACCGTTTTATTGCACTACGCTAGGACCACATCTTGCTCCCCGACTAGCAAACACCTTGCGACGGCGAACTGTGCTGGGGTTCAACAATACTCTAAAAAGAGCGGTCTTCCGCTATTGGTGGTTGGAGTAGCACGCATCAGGGACAACAGCCATGACACAACGCGATTGTTACAGCGACATCGGTGTTGCTGAAAATACTTAAATATCCTACCACGCAGTTCTAAACGGGGAAAACGATGGCTTCCAGTGCGGCTAAACGACAAGGTTAAATCCTAAGCGCCATACATTGATACATGTTCGTTATAGACGGGCCATCAGAAGGGTCTCCTCTGAAACATGGTTCCTCATTTGGAGAAATGCGTCAGTCTAAAGAAACTAATCTCCCTCGGATTCCGTGAAATCGCCCAATAGAAAGTGTCAACGATTGAAATCACGCGCTTCGAGCCACAACCATATCGTTCCACCGGTGACGGAGCAAATGAAATATAGCAAAATAGCAAGGATGTGTCGGGGAAAGCGGTAGGCTTCTGGGTTGATGTTGACTTGTTGACGAATCATACACCATTCTACACAAAGTAAAGTCTCCATCTAAAGAAGCCGGAGACCTAATCTTCATTTTTACTGTATCTCATTGGCGCCACTTTATCCCACAGCCCTACAACTGTGCATCTTGTATCAATCATGCCACAGTTCAAGAGTAAAAGGCTAGTTGGGGGAATAAGCTGTCCTGAGGAATCCGTTGTACCTATGTTCGTTGCAGTCGTGCCGCGGTTTTACCTTCGCTGACCTATCGTGAGGATTGGTCGGTCACTCCGGGCAGCGCCAGCCTGTTCATTTCTTCAGTTTATCGCCTGATCACCAAGCTTGACATTTGAAACGGAAACGCGTCAGACCAGCAAAGGTGCCATCGTCAGGAGACTGTTGCTGATTTCTTGTGTTTACATACGGAAACCAGAAAAAGCTTGGTGACGATACCAACGTCCACATTCTTATCGACAAGCACGAAGGTGAAATCAAGATCCAAACAGCTCAGTTTCCTTCTGCTCAATCTTTACCGTTTTTATAATTTCACCGGTATGTACTTCGGCTGCTCTTGGTAGTTCTCTTCGATGTCAGGTTTCCTTGACTCTCATTAACTGGTACTCAGACTGGGGCTCGCTGTGACATTTCTTTGTGGTAGCACAAATGTTCACAAAGATGGCGCATCCTGATGGAATCAATTCGACTCATCCCATTGCAGTCGTATTCAATGACCGAACAACGACAAGACTACAGAGCATACCGATTGTTTGCGAAAGAACACAAAGTACGGTCATGACGCGACAGATAAGAGGAGGGACTGTGCAGAGCGTGGAACGACCAGCGGGTAGATGGCACAACACGAGTTAGGGCGTCCGTTAAAACCAAAATGGCACAGATGAAGTTGGGCACCGAAAACTGAAAACTACGGGAGAAATTTTCACTCCCCTGAGTTCAACCAATGAAAATTATTTTTTTTGCCTCATGGCCTCTAGTAATAGCGCACCGAAAACTGAAAACTACGGGAGAAATTTTCACTCCCCTGAGTTCAACCAATGAAAAGTAATCTATTTGCCTCATGGCCTCGTAGTAATAGCAGTGCAAGAATCAGGAAGAATACAGGACATCGTTTTCACCTACATCCTCCGTGCCGGGATAAAATAAACTGTGTAAAAATAAACTGAACAATTCTTTCGCAAACTGAAGAAATACCAGAAAACTGAATGCTATAGCCCACATGTCACCCGAATAAGCCTGTTTCACAAGGTATGTGCTAACGGTCTTGAACGAAAGGAAGACTGAGGGACCACTGCTCTAGGCATAAGATCAAATCTAACTTTCCAAGTATGTCGAGCAAAGGTAGTTACCTGATATCACCAAGGCTTCGCTTGGACCAACAGTATGTATGTTCCCCATTGAAGGCCTGAGATTCGATGCTCTCACTGGGACTGCAAAAACGGGTAACGCGATCTACAGAAGGAAGTAGCGCTGGAAAAGAATGGATAAATGGATAAAGTGATACAGCGATACATCAACGGCAACACAAGTAGGAGGCTAGGAAGTCGAAAATCCAGCATGCACGTTGAAGCCTTCGATAGCGAGGTAGTTCGACACGATTCAGTCGAGAATCGGCTTGTTTGTCTTTTGATCGCGAAAAAAGGCGGAAGATAGTACTTGACCAACTATTCAAGTGGATGGATGAATAAGACGGCAAAAGATAAAACAAGATAGTGTCCAGAGGAAGTAAAATGAGTCCAGCCAGATTGTACGGGACAGGACGAAATACCATACATACATAAATCGTTCAGTTGTGACACTTTCGGTGCTCAGCTGCGAGGCCACCTGAAGGAGACACAAGGGCTGAGACATTATCAGGTTGCCCAAGCAACCTGAGATGCGGAAGTTGAGTTCGAACCACGGACCTACTGGCCAGTGTGTTCGCGTCTCAAACACTAAGCACATCGACCTCCGATTTGAATTTTGAAAGTTGCTCCCGCGCTCAAGAAACGCAAAAATAAAGAACAATCGTTGGCCACGGCAACATTTCGGTGCATAGCTGCCATTCAATCCATATTCATTAGAAGGTTGCGGTGCTACTGGATAGTCATGCTCTGGATAGGGGTTCCATAAATACATAGGAGAATAGGGCTATCACTCAACGGCCATAATAAATTTCGCCGGTCGAGTTGCGCGAAATTAAAGGTTTGTGGAAGTAGTCAATCTTGTTGGAAAGCAACGCAAGAGATGAAAACAGCGAATTCGGCAATCTAGGTGTTTTTCTATCGCAAATCTTGAGTCACTTAAAAAGCACTCATCACCAGCATCATTACGGACAGCACGACATCAGTTTTCAACATTGATGCTTCGCTGCCATACAACCATGGTTTATGTGAAGAAAATAAAAAAAGGTAGATAGGAGAGGGACTTTGTGCTAGCCTACTACAATCAGTCCGGACACTCATTCATTCAGACAATCTGGATAGAAACTGACAACACGAACGTCACTGACATCCATGAGCAGACATATCTCGCAGCGTCTCCGAACAATTGGGACCACGCAGCCCCCACCCTGGTAGGCCAGTAGCAACAACAGCACCCAAACGTTTCATACTCCTCTCTCAGGTCAAGAATTGGAGGTCAAGAATTAGAGCAGCGAGAGTCGTACAACGAGTAATCGTGCTACCAGGCGGTCTGGGAGTAAAGCCGTACTGTCCTCTGCGAGAAGTTATCTGGGCTAATTCGTCAAGAAAGAAACATACAATGTGGTACTTGCGGGTGATATGAATGCTCAATTCGGTCGTCTGAGCTCTTTGGAACCACATTTGGGCGGTCATTTCGGAATCAATGCTCGCCGCACAGGCAACGGAGAGCGACTGCTCCAATTGTGTCAGATCCTTAACTGTTTTAGCCAGTACGAACTTCCAGTATGAATGCTCGCATAACTGATGTATATTGCACCTCCGAAACACGCATACGAGAAAGAAGCGCAGTTATGCATCTCAGGGCACAAAACTGATATTGTGACCCTTGCTGCCGATATGAATGTCCAACTCAGTCGTCTGAGCCCCTCGGAATCACGTTTGAGCGGTAGATTCGGAGTAGATACTTGTCGCACAGATAACGGAGAGCGGTTACTCCAGTTTCGCGCTGATCATCAACCACTTCTGGTTAGTAAAAACTTTCGACATAAACGTTCGCATCGCGTAACCTGGCGGCCACCAAATGCAAATCAACTGTGGACCCAGTTGGATCAAGTGGCCATCAGCAACCGGTGGATGGCCACAATTCAATACTGCCATTCCTTCTGAGACACACCTTGATTCTGATGAGATAAATAATGATGGTTGAGCTGTAAAACCCTTTCTGTGTCTAGCTGCCATGCCACACAAAGGAAGCACGAGAGCTGGGATGCTGCAAAGTTGTCCAAGCCTAGACAAGGGAAGTCGAGAGGTAGAGGCTGGGTTCGAACCACAGACCTTCGCGATCTAACCACCAAGCCATCTCGCTGTACTGGCAGTGAGCATGTGGATGGAGCGTGGCAAAAGGTAAAAGGAGCTATGTTAGTGGCGTTCAGTGATTCCGACCATGCAACGATGCGTGCACGCTGACAGTTCGTTTCCTTTCAGGACTTCTAAAGTCAGCAAGAAGCATGCCAATCCACCATCTTCGAAGAAGCACCACAGCTCAGCAGTATCAAGCTGAGCTAGCTCAATTGCTCTTGGAATTGAACCAATAATGAGCACTTGGATGAAGGGTGGCGAGCTGTGAAAGGAGCTATTGTAGCGGCTTTCACTGTTGACAGTCCGAATTCTCCGATTCGACCATAAGACCACTAGGTGTCGCCGAGATCTCTGATTATAATTGATAGCGGGAAATCCATACCAGCAGGCAACGCGTACGACGGTCACGCAAATCTCTAAACGGCAAATAGTGAAAAGCCTAAGGAAAGTGGCGGACATCGGAAGCTGGAGAGATGGAGAAGGCTTCTGCTACCATAAATAGATGTGTTCTATACCAGCTGATACGACTGACTGGCCTTCGAAAAGCGGCGATCAGTGAAACGATAAATGAAAGAGGCAGTTTATTATTTCACTCGCAGAAACGTCGACTGGAAAGATCAGCCGAACGCTTCGAAGATCAAATTAGCTGGCCTGCTGCAACTCAGCCTGTCGAGATAGCACTACGGGAGAATGGAATGTAAACTTTAATCGCCCGCCGGAAGAGATAAATTACGAAATATCGGTACTCAAACGTGAGAAAACACCAGGACCAGACGGTCTGTATCCAGTCCTGTTTAAAGAAGGTCGAGAAACCCTGGTGACCCATCTGAAAAAGCTTATTGGAGCATATGGAACGAAGAGATAGTACCTGCAGAAAGAGGCATGTCGACAGTTATTCTTATCTTCAAAAAGGGTGCGTGGACGTTGTGTGAAAGCATCAACCTGGTAGCTGAGGCATCGAAGCACCCCTCTGGTCTTATCCTTCGATGATTGAGTGAACAAACGGAGAGGCAGATTCGTGGAAACTAAACTGGGTTACGTCCTGCAAGAGAATGCATCGATCACATCTTCACCCTATGACAGATTTTGGAACAGTGACACTGCTTCCAGCAACCAACAATGGTCGTCTTCCTTGACTTGAAAGCTGCCTTAGACCATGTGGACCTTAAAGCCCTACAGCAGTGTTTATGAGTCAAAGGTGTCCCCGACAAATATACGGCCATCCTTAAGGCGCTATACGCCAACTCCCCGGGCTGTGTGAAAGTCTAGGGAAAGCTCGCACCTGAGTTCACCACATCAAGTTGTAAGACTTGGCTGTCCTCTTTCAATCTGTCCCTTCAACTTTGTCATTGATATGAATATCGAAAACCCGCCATCAATCTCTAATGCATGTAGGGGCGAACCCGAATGTAGTTCCAACCCGACCTCTGCCTCTCAACCTCTCCTGTATAAGTTTGGGCAACCTGAAAGTATCCCAGTTCTCGTGCTTCATTCAGGTGGCATGGTAGTTAGGCACCGAAAGGGTCCTACAGCTGAACGCATGTGGGGTCGAAGTGCTCCCGGGGCGTCCGCTCACAGAAATCGTGTACGCAGACGAAATAGCTCTTCTTGGATCTGGCCCCGTGATAATGCAAATACTATTAAATAATGCAAATTCTGCATTCGCTTCACGCATGCAAGGCGTGAAATGCTACTGCAAGACTGGGTAGGCTCGAACCCTAGCCTCATGCTTGTGGATGAGTTGATTGAGGCAGTAGACAAGTTTGTCTACCTAGACAGCTGTATCGATCCCCAGGGCCTAGCGAAAGACGATATTTCCATCCGGATTGGGAAGGCCAGAGCAATTTTATAAACCTGCGTCACCTATGGCGTAGGCGAGAAATCGGCATAACTGTCAAGTGTCGAGTTTACAACGTTGCGGTGCGATCCACATTGCTACACGGGTCAGAAACTTGGCCGCTGCATGCCAAGGATGTCAAAAGACTTTCAGTGTTTGACCATCAATGTCTTCGGAGAATTGCCCGAGTCAGGTGGTACACCGGATCAGCAATGCTTAAGTACGTCGAATGGTATTCGAAAAATAATAACTCGCATAGGTTGCGCTGGCTTGGGCACGTACTGCGTATGCCAGTCGACCGACTTCCTCAGAGGTTCTTTTCGCACAACCACGTAAACGGTGGAAACGAGTCAGTGAATGTCAAAGAAGAAAAAAAGGACAAAGAAGGAAAGAGCGGTGTATGGCAGCCATCACCAGCAAACCGGCTGCGCTGGTCATTGCCGTCTCCCTGGATTTGGGACCCCGATACAGAACACATCAATAAGTAGAGATATCGTCAGATATGACTCAGTCGCGCAATCAACTGCGCTCGTGAAACCAAGCGATTGCCTTCAATGAACAGCTCCCTTCGCAATAACTGACAGTCCTGTACTTACGCCTCAACTCATCATCTCTTGCCTCCAATGCGCAGCCACCCACCTCACCTCTTCAAATCATTGGCGAAAAAATTGTGGCAGCTATAATCACGGCTCTTACAGCTGATAATGAGGATGGTTCCTCAAAACCACCAGAGAACCGTAGGCGTCCTCAAACTTTTCGACATTGGTGTCTCGTAACACAGGAAGAGTTCACCGAGTGCAGTGAGTAAGCAACCAAATAGTGTGTAAAATGGTAACGAATTCGAACCGTTGGAGCAGCCGAATAAATTGGCCCGACTAGGCCGTTTGGGGCCAACAAATTTGGACAGCATTCCATCGCGCGGTACGTTCGAAATCGG